ATACCTGGACTCTAAAATTAAATGGAAACTGTTGAGTTAAAAGTGACACTGAGGATTTTTCTTAGCCGGGCGATGGTGGCGCACACCTTTAATCCCAGCACTCGGGAGGCAGAGGCAGGTGGATCTCTGTGAGTTCGAGACCAGCCTGGTCTACAGAGCTAGTTCCAGGACAGGCTCCAAAGCCACGGAGAAACCCTGTCTCTGAAAAACCAAAAAATAAATAAATAAATAAATAAAAAAATAAAAAAAATTTTTTTCTTGGAATAAGTGTAGCTTCACTACTAATGGCTGCTAGTTTGGAATGCTACTAGGGTTTCCAGCTCAGCCCTATTACTTGGTGGGTGGTCAACAGCACATTATTTAAATTTTATTCTTTTTAATCTATAAATACAGACAACTTATTTATTAAATATTTTTTTAAGTAGTGATTATAGAGAATGTGTTGATATAGTTGAAAGTGCAGTGGAATTAGCCCCCATTACTGTAGGCACTGAAGTAGAGGGGAACCAGATGTTTATAACATTCCGAGAGCACTGGGTTGGGTGTCAGAGCCTCTTCCCCCAGCTAAGAAGCCACGCCAGATTTGGAAACTGCTCTTGCCACAAGTATCAGGCTATGGAATGTGGAAGCTGACTGGTGTTGCCAGTGTGAGGGTCTGCTGTGGATTTGTGTGCAGGTTACCTGATGTAAAAAGAAAAGCAGTGGCTCAGCCTTACAGATCTTCCTTGTACGTATTGTCATATCACTTCCATAGCCAGGTCTCAGGAGTGTTTGGAATTCAGTGCCTGTGCCTGCCTGCCCACCTGTCTCACAGTGTGGCCTTGGGATCAGGGTCATAGTTTAGAATTAAAAAATCCACATCAGATTCTGGCTATGGCTCAAGCTGGTTCCTTAACAGAAAAAAAAAAAATTCTACCTTTCTGAAGGTTGGAGAAACAACATCTTTTGTAAGAGGGTAAAGAGATACTCAGGTATGTAAAAAAGCATGTGTATGTAAAGCAACTGTAAGGCACCCCAGTGTATTATAAATAATAGATAGGAATGCTTGCTGCTCTTATGATTATTTATCTTTCCACTTCATCGTCATTTAACAATGTGTAGACCCCTTTGTTGGGACAGAATTGCACATTATGGACATGAATAGTTGGAAAGTTCTGTCTCAAAGTGGTTGCGCCCATCTTTACCCCTGTGAGTATAAGGAAGGCCTGCATAGACACTACACTAGGCGAGATCTCTGTTCTAAACAATGTAGCATGTTTTCTCAAAGACTCACCTTAAATATAACACTGCAGGATATTTAGTGACTATTTGATAAGGTGACCTCAGATTACTTCTGGTACTGTTTACGGTGACCCCTAGTTAGCAAGTCCATGAATCTGAGTTTTCCTCTTCAGTAAAGGAATCTCTTAACTGAAGAGCTGCAAGCCTAACATATAGGCAGGTCTCAAGAAGATACTGGTTCTTTCTATTTATTGTACTAGTGAGGAATTGTAGGCAGAACATCCATGAAGAATACATCCTTACAGGCTGCTTGGACTTGTCTGTACTGATTAGATACTCTTCCCCATCCGTGGACCGAGATCCTTTTATAGTACGTACTTTGTCGTACCAGGTATCAGCTATGTTTTTGTACCTGTTTGCCGTGCAGAGACGTGCTCCCTTACCTTATCCCTCATGCCCAGTTCGTGCCTGGAAGGAGCTACTCTGTAAATGTTTGTTCAATGATGGATCATCGTAACTGTAGGTCCACCCTGACTAAAGTCATTCCACAGTGACTGGGCTAGGAGGAGGGAAGGGCAGGGAAATGGTGACGTGGGGTAGAAATGATAGGATTTCATTATTTGAAGAGAGATCAGCCCACTTTGTTCTTTAATGTATCTTGAAAGTCTGTCAAAGAATTCAGCAACATGGTGAATAAATGAATGAAAAAATAAGTCCTCATTTAAAATCTTTTAAATTACATCTATGTGTTATGGGGTGGTGTGCTCCGCATGTGTGTGGAGGTCAGAGAAAAACATGCAGGAGTCAGTTCTCCCCTTCCATGTAAGTTCTGAGGTAGTCAGGCTTCGCAACAGGTGCCTGCTAAGCCATCTTGCCGAACCAAGTCCCCTACTTTAACCTTAGTCCTAGAATATCAAAGGTACAAGATTTTTCAGACAATAGACACCCTGATTGTCTGGAATTGAGCTGTTCCATAGCAATTTCTCTTCTGGGCTAAGCTTCATGAAATTAAGTTAGCTGCCCTTAGATCTGCTTCCGTATTTAACCGCCACTAAAGCTGCCACCTTAGAACTAGGTAGTGGGTCAAGAAAAACTAAATTTGGCCTAAGTCTCTCTGCTGCCGTTGTGCCCACTGCTTTTGGACCTGGCATCGCTTGCTCTATCCATTGAAGCTCTGCCATGCTCTAGCCTGTAGCCCTTTTCCTGTCTTGGCTTTTGGTTACCCTTCTGGTATCTGAACCAGCCTCAGAGGGATTGTTTTGCCTTTTCCATGCTGATGTATTTAAAACTTACCTTTTTGTTGCTAATAAAAATTTGCCTGTGAGAAAACAGTTGCTTAAAATATTTAGAGTTCATCCTTGAACATTAATGGATGATGTTTAGAAAACAGTTGAAAATAACTGTTTAAAATAGCTGATTAGAGTTAGAAAGGATCTTCAGATTTGCAAGACACAGTGCCCTCTTTACATTCAATGTTTTCATCGGACAAAAAACATGTAAATACATGTGTCTATCAGGGCTGGTGAGATGGCTCAGTGTGGAAGGCACTTGTCTTGCAAGCCTAGTGACCTGAATTGGATCCAGAGAATTCATGTTAAGGTGTTTGGAGAGAACCAACTCCAAGAAGCTGTCTTCTGGCCTCCATACATGCTGTGGCATGCATATCCACAATACATATATGAGCGCATGCATGTATACACACTAATAGCTAATAAGAGTGAGCCGAGATGATCAGTACTATGGTTTTACTAGCAGAGGCTAGGGACTGGCATGTACATAGCTCAGTTAATAATAGAGGGATTGCCTCCCACCACCACATGGGCATACTGTTATCTCAGCACTTCAGAGGGAGGCGGCCAAAGTCATCCTTGGCTACATAATGAATTTGAGACCTGTTTCCAAAACAACAAAACATGCTGTTAGTCTAGTCAGTGTGAAGATGAAGACTACTGCGTGTGTGTGTGTATGTGTATGTGTGTGTGCACACATGCACACGCTCGTATATCTGTGCACATGTACATGCTTTTGGAAATAAATACATGGTAAATAGTAGTCAAAATAAAATAATTAGAATTTGAGTATCTCTGTCCCTACTTTTGCTTAGCTGGTATCCTTGATGGAAGGGGAGACTATGAAAGGGAACGGGTTTGTTAAATGATTACTTTCCAGTTGTGACAGACACATTATTATTATTATTATTATATTTTTAAATATGTATGAGTCCTTTTCCTGCAAATGTCTTTGGCCCATGTTCAGAGGGCATTGGAGCTCCTAGAATTGGAGTTACAGACTCCAATTACTATTAGAGTAACTGCTGGGAACTACCTCAGATCCTTGGAAAATCATCAAATGCTTTAAACTGCTGAGCCATCTCTCCAGCCCCAGTATTCCTTATTTTCTTAGAACAGTGATAGAGATGGTAGGATGCGAGGTGGTTTATTTTGCCTTAAGAAAAAGGTGAATATTAGAAGGAATTATGAGAGAGCTGGTCTATTCTTTACGTTCAGAGAATTCTCCTGAGCTGCTGAAGAGATGATATCTACTCAGGGACTCAGCTAAGTCTTGGGCACTTTAGAGTCCAAGTCGATGAAAGATTATTTTAGAATTTATATAGAATCTTTTTAATGTGAAGCATATGGTTTTAAAAATGTTTTTGATAGGTTTACTTAACAGATTAATGTAGTTTGACAACAAGCCCAGACCCGATGGCTACAAGCTCAGTGATGAGCTGATTGCAGTAAAGCGCACTTCCGCTTTCTCTCTGTGTGGCTGACCCTTTAACTCAGTAGGTCTCGTGAGAACTGACACGGGAATAGCACTGTGCATTCCTTTTGGCTCTGTCGTAACTTAATTTTTTTCTTGTAACTTAACTTTTTACAGACTAACATTCTAGTTTACTCTTAAAGAAAAGGGAGACTAAAATCTGTAGGGTAGGAAGTCCATTTTCAGAATGTACTTGTTTGTGTTCAGATAGGGTCTCATGTGTAGCTCTGGTTGTCCTGGAACTTGCTGCTCAAACTTAGAATCTACCTGCCACTGCCTCTAGAGGATTATTTGTTCGTTTCTATTTGAATTCTGTGTATATGTGCTATGTGTAGGTATATGCATGCCAGTACAGAGGCTTGGATCCCCTGAAGCTGGGGTTACAGGTGGTTGTGAGCTGCCTAATGTGGGTGCTGGAACAAGCCATCTCTCCAGACCAGAATGTACATTCTTAACTCCTGTCTAATAGGGAAAATCCAAGGCCAAAGACTTACTCTACTGAATATATTAGTGGGTTTTTTTTTTTTAATCTTTTGGTGTGGGTGGGTTTGATTTTGATCCTTGAGCATATGCAGAGGATTAAAAAATCTTAATCTTAGAAGTATTTTTGTGTTTTTCTCCTTTTCAACTGGGATTAAAACGTTTTTCTGGCATCTTCCCTGCTCTATTATGTGCGAAGCACGTGGGAGGGCAGTTTTTTCCAGTTTGCTAGGAAGGGAAACTATTCAATGGCAGAATTATATGACTGGGTTTTATCTCTGTGGGTATAACTTGAAAGCAGTTAGTTCTACATTAATGTGCTTTAGTTATTTGAAATCATGAAATAATAGGTCAAACACCAACACTAAGTTTATTTCAAAAAGACTTGAAATAAACGTAGAATCAACGCCTTTCCAAATGTATTTTTGATATGTCAGTTAATTAAATAAGTCCTCCTGGGATATGAAAAGAAAAATTGTGAGACTTTTCTTTAAGTAAATCAGTTAAATTTTTACTGTTTCCCTATTTGTTGGCAGGACTTTGTGTCATTGTATCAGGATTTTGAAAACTTCTATACAAGAAACCTCTACATGAGGATAAGAGACAACTGGAACCGACCTATTTGTAGTGTGCCTGGAGCCAGGGTGGACATCATGGAGAGACAGTCCCATGACTACAACTGGTCGTTCAAGTGAGTTGTTTTAGAAATCATTTCTTACCAACAGAGGAATTTGGGTATTCTCTCAAAGCAAAAGCAGCAGCTGAATATGATTAATTCCTGGCAATACTGTCCTTGTTCTTGGAATACTTTTTGGAGGGAGTGTAGGGATGCTAGGCAAGTGCTACACCAGGGAGCTACACACACCACAGCCCTCATTGGACTCAAGGGCTTTTTTCTCTTTCATTCGGTTCTTTTGTTTTTATTTTTTTGTTTGTTCTGTTTTGGTTTTTGGTTTGTTTGTTTTTTTTTTCATCTGACTGAATAAACATTTTATTCGACGTGTGTGGTTTTTGGTTTTTTTGAGACAAGGTTTCTCCATGTAGCCCTGGCTGTCCTGCAAATAGAATAAGTTGGCCTCAAACTCAGGCATTCACCTGTCCCTGCCTCCTAAGTGCTGGGATTAAAGGTGCATGCCACCACCACCACTGTCCAGCATGGTTTATTTTTTGAAACAGGATCTCATTATGTAGCTATGGCTGTCCTGAAACTCACTTTATAGACCAGGTTGGTGTCAAACTCACTTTTTCTTTTAAGATTTATTTATTATGTATATAGTGTTCTGCCTGCATGTAGTCCTGCAACCAGAAGAAGGCACCAGATCTCATTATAGATGACTGTGAGCCACCATATGGTTGCTGAAAATTAAACTCAGGACCTCTGGAAGAGCAGCCAGTGCTCTTAAGCTCTGAGTCATCTCTCCAGCCCTCAAACTCACTTTTTAATACACAAAAATGGGATCATATGTTATATATTTTTTGCTAACATACTGGCAACATCTTGCCTATGTGTGTGTTCACTATAAGTTCATTGTTTGTAGTGGCTAATACCTACATAGTATTCCACAGTGCTGGTGTGCCATCCCTAGCCATCTTATGCTAGTCTGTCCCAGACCCCAGCACTTAAAGGCTCAGCACTTCTACCGTCAGTCATCTGGACCATGACATGCTTACCGACTGAGCTTCCATCATAGGGGGACCATCACTGGTCCCTGGGCCTATGGGAGGACAATGGCTCCTAAAGGACCCTTGTGTGTGCGTGCTCACATGTAGAATTGCTGAATCAAAACATACATAATTTTCAGTGAATAAGTAGTACCAAATTGCCCTCCAGAAGAAAATACTGAATGAAGGCTAGTTTTTAAGAATGTTCTAAGCCAATGTTGCCTGTCACACTTTATAATTTTATCGCTGTTAATAGATTAACATTTTTTAAAAATAATTTTTATTCTTTGATGATTTCATGCTTGTGCTTGTTAGACTTTGTTGTACCTTTCTTCTCTCATGAGTCTGTGCTCCTTTTCTACAGAGTGTCCTCTCTATTTCTCTGTATAGTGCTTTTGTGTTACCAGTGTATTATGTCACCCTAAAGTATCAGGCATGCTGTGAGTATCATTAAGTTTTATACTATTGAAACACAGGTACACAGGGAATATAATTAAAGGTGTTATAAACATGGGTTCCTACAACTATCTTGGATTTGCGAGGAACACTGGATCATGTCAGGAAGCAGCTGCTGAAGTTCTCAAGGAGTATGGAGCTGGAGTGTGCAGCACTCGCCAAGAGATTGGTAAGTATGAGCTCAGGGTGAGTTAGGTCACACACTTTCTTTTCCTCGAGTGATGGATAATCTTAATATTTGCAACACATTTTGAGATGGATCCCAGTGTGTTGCATATACATAATGTCCATAGCAAAGTTTTGTATTTGTTTCATTTATGACTTTGTTGGATTTTATTGTTTCATAACTCTTAGAAGTGCCGCTTATTGCATAGGAACTCTCAAAACTAATGTGCTTTCATACTGGCAAGCTAGGGCTGATAATCCGTAGATATGTTCCGAGAATTAAATAAGCTAATTCATGTAAAGCACTTGGAACAGAATTAGCTACTCAGTAAATGTAAACTGTTGTTACAAATCTGTAAAATGTGAAAGATTAACCATCTTTTAAAATTTTTGATTTATGTGCATTGGTGTTTGGCCTGCATGTGTGTCTGCATGAGGGTATCAGATCCCTTGGAACTGTAGTTATAGACAGCTGTGAGCTGCCATGTTGGTGCTTGGACTTGAACCCAGGTCCTCTGGAAGAGCAGCCAGTGCTCTTTTTTGTTTTGTTTTAAGACAGGATTTCTGTAGCTTTGACTACCCTGGAATGTGCTCTATAGGCCAGGTTGGCCTTGAACTCAGAGATCTGCCTGCATCTGCCTTCTGACTATAGGGATTAAAGGAGTGTACCGCCACCCCAATGTAATAACCCACTGAGTCTCCAATGCTGGAGGAGCCTCAGAGTGTAGCGCAATTCTTATTGATATTAATAATAAAAACCCAGAGTCAGATATAAAGGTTAATGCTGAAGATCAGAGAAGCAGAGCGGCCAGCCACTAGAACATTCTTACCTCTACCATTGCTCATATGCATCCTCAGGCTTCACTGAGCCTCTGTCTCCTCCCACCGTATCTTCCTCTCTACCCAGTCATATCACTCCTGTCTCCACCTGACTCCCAAATACTGGGATCACCTTTGTGTGAGCTCTTTTTCTCTTTGAGACTGGATCAATTTTGTGTAGCCCAGGGTTGCCCTGAACTAACAGAGATCTGGCTGTCCCCCAAGTCCTGAGATTAGAGGTGTGTGCCACCACTGCCTGGCTTCTAGTGGCTTAGCTCTGCACTCTGTTCTTCAGGCAAGCTTTATTTGTTAAAACACAGACAAAATATCACTGCTGAGATTTGAGAAGCATGTTATTTTTACCGTAGTTCTCTGTGTAATCTGTCTCCTGCTTTAGTCTGAACTGATAGCTCTCAGGACTGTTTTACAATTACGTTCTGGTCTTTCTTTCTTTCTTTCTTTCTTTTTTTTTTCTTTCTGGATTTTCGAGACAGGGTTTTTCTGTAGCTTTGGAGCTTGTCCTGGAACTAGCTCTTGTGGCATTCTGGTATTTCTTTATTTGGGGTGAGAGGAGCCATTTTAGGAATTTTGTTCCTATGTCCAATTTGGATTCCTTATTCCCTGTTCCTTCCTCTCGGTAACGGATCCCTCATTGGTAGAGCTCATTGTCTAGTGCCCTCCTGGTGTGCAGGGAATTGAAATATGGTATCAGAAACCGTCTTTTATGTGATAATATTGCTCAGCTAGTCATTCTGGCACTACCACATGCAAGGTTGAAAATATCTTGTGAGGAGTGGGGCCGGTCAAGTATGATGCTATTATGGTTCATGGCGTTTTGTGTAATTCCTTCTCTCCAGATTTCTACCTAGAAAGACTTCATTGTTTAGAAACCTTTGGGGATAAATAATACATAAACATGGCTAGTAATTCCCAACGTACCCGAAGGCATGCAATGAAAAATCTACATGCTGCATGTGGTTCAGCCATGTAGTTCCCCTTCCTGCAGAAATGGATTCTGCTGTTGTTTTTCTGGGCCTTTGTTTGTTTTGCATATTCTTGGACACCTTAAAAAATTTAATATTTTTAGTTAACATGGAAAAAAATGGATATCATTCTTATATACATACATGACACATGTACTTTTTATATTGTTCATGTTTGTACCCCCAATAGCATCCTTGTTTTACCCCAACTCCTTCCATCCCCTCCTTCCCCTAAAGCCCCTATTATGCTTTCATATAATAGTTTGTTTAAATTTAGAGTCTACATATGAGAAAATGGTTTTTCTTCCCTTTTTTTGAGATTTTTTTTCCCCCTAGTTTTTAAGACCTCATTTCTTTTGAGTATATCAGGAAATTGCAGTTTTACCTTGTTATGAATCTCCCTCACAAGCTGTGCTGTCTTGCTACTTTGTGGATCCTTATAAATTGAAGACTCATATTCTTTGATTTCGTGATAATCTCCTGAACATTTTCTTAGTTATTGCTTTTGAAAAATATGTGCAGACTCTTAGTATTTATCTCCTAATTGTTTTGCTTTCCTGTTTTCTGTCCTTTCATTTTTTTTCTTTTGCTACTGAGAAATTGGGTGGGCAGATCTGTCTATAAACTTGCCCTTCCTCACCATTTACCTGGCAGTACGTATACTTCAGTATCAGAAGCCCAGAAGTTCTAAATGATGTTCTTTTACTGTGTGGGCGAAAGAAGGCAGAGTTACTGGGTTGCTTGTGCTAGGCTTAGAAGGGACAGTGTGTTACTTTCTGTCTCTTGTCTTAAAAGCTTTATTAAGATATAATTTATATTGGCTGGGATTAAAGGGTGCACGCCTTTAATCCCAGCACTCAGAAGGCAGAGGCAGGCAGATCTTTTTGATTTCGAGGCCAGCCTGGTCTACAAGAACTAATTCCAGGACAGGCTGCAAAGCTATAGCAAAACTCTGTTTCAGAAAAAAATATATATAATTTATATGATGTATAATTTGTCCATTTGAAGAGTATACTTCTTTTAGGATTGTTAGCAGAGATGACAGCTGTCGCTACAGTTTAAATTTTAGAATATTTTCATTCCCTCTATAGAGCTGCCTGACCCCCTAGCATTCACTGGCAGCCAGTGGTCTGCAGTCTTTTTTTTGCCTCCTTTGGACATTTCATATACATGCACTCATGTAACATTGTGGCCTTTCACGTGTGGCTTCTTTCACTTAGCGTACATTCACAAGATTGCCTATGTGTAATATGCATTAGTACTTCATAGACTACATCAGCACGCCATTCTACTTTGTGACTAAGTAACAACCACATCGTGTTTATCTCTGCTGGACATTTGGTTTGTTTCTTTTTGGCTTTAAGAATATATTTGTGGGGGGCTGGAGAGATGGCTCAGAGGTTAAGAGCACTGCCTGCTCTTCCAAAGGTCCTGAGTTCAATTCCCGGCAACCACATGGTGGCTCACAACCATCTGGAATGAGGTCTGGTACCCTCTTCTGGCCTGCGGTCATACACACAGACAGAATATTGTATACATAATAAATAAATAAATTATTTAAAAAAAAAAAAAGAATATATTTGTGAAATAACATTTTCATTTCTCTTGCGTATATACTTAGGTGTGGTATTGCTAGATCACATGGTAATGATTAGCATTTTGAGCTGCTTCCCAGAGCAGCTACACTATTGTATAGTCCCATCAGCAGTGGGAGTTCATGGTTTTGGGGGCTTGGTATTAAGAGGAAGAGGGTAAGGTATGCTTAGTCTTGCAGCTATATATCCCGGGCTTATCTTGAATTTGAGATCCTCCTACAAGTCCTGGGATTACAGATGTGTTCTGCCATTCCTGGCTATGTGTGTTTTATATATCATGGTTGTAGGCCAGCTTTAACCATTTCCTGCCTTGATTGTTGCTGCCTCTCACTTTAAGCCTCTCTGGAGTTCATGCAGTGAGTGTACTCCTCTCTCATCAACTCATCATCTACTTAGTAAGGACATAGATTTAACCTTGTCTGTCTCAAAGTTCCCAGCTCTGTTGGCTTCCTAGGACTACTATAACAAAGAATGAGAAATAGGAAATTGTGGAGGCTAGAAGTATGAGGTCAAGGTGTTGGCAAGGCCAAGCTCACTCTGACAGCACCTTAGTGTTCCCTAGCCTGTGGTCTCATGGCTGTCTTTCTGTGTGTCAGACACTGTCATCTTCTGTGCCTCCTCTGTATATGTCTGTTTGTCCGGGACCTTATTTTATCTTGATTATTTTTGTGAAGAATTTCCAAAGTGGCTGTATTCTGAGGGAAAGGAGTTGGAGTTGTCTTGTTTTGGTTCTGGAGTCTGACTCTGGTCTTTGGACATGCTGTGCATCTGCCCCATCACAGAGCTGCCTCCTCAGCCCCTCAGGATATCTTTAGTGGAACACAGTTTACCCTTTACATTACCCATGCTTGTATTTCTCATGTTTCACTAATTGTGCTAAGGATTACAAGTATTCATAAATGGAGTTTCAGTTCTTGTCCTCCCAGTGTTTTGGGATGTGTGTGTTAACTTTTCAACAGAAAATATCAACAGAATTTTTTTGTTTTGGTTTTGGTTTTTCAGGGCAGGGTTTCTCTATGTAGCTCTGGCTGTCCTGAAACTCAGTCTGTAAACCAGACTGGCCTCAAACTCAGAAATCTACCTGCCTATCTTCTAACTGCTGGGATTAGAGGCGTGTGCCATCACCACCTCACCAGTTCCACCTTTAAAGTAAGTTTTGTAGCTGAAGCTTGAGAAATCACAGGTCAGTGGTGTGAGCTAGAAAGCTACACACTGATCGGGTACAGTTAGCACTGTGTATCTTTATGGCACTGCGAATTTTGTAAAGTACCAGGATGTTATCTTGATCTTTATAACAACGTCTTGAGATTGATAAGGGATTATTATTTGTGGTGCTCGCCAATGAATACTTGTTAAAGTCTTAATGATACATACATAGCATTCAAGATCAACAATCTTTCTCAGTCTTGATTCTTTGTGCAAATCATTCAGTCATTAGGGATTCGAAAGCCACTGTAGTTGCCATAGTACAATGGTAACAGTCATTTGAAAGTGAGAATAGGTGTGCTCCATGTGGTTTCAAGTGAGCCATTATCCCTGAGGATGGGTGGTGTCATGGGCACAGCTGGTACCTCAGCTGGCCAGCAGTACTGCTGATACTTCTGCTGTCTAGCTTCTTATCCTCTACGTATTCTCTCTTTGCAACAGGCCAGTTACACTGTATTGCATGACTGGTGACTTCAAAAATGTAGACACAAACTTGTTAGGTCTTAGACCTGAGACTAAAACATGAAAAACATTGAGTTAGTAGTCTTCCTTTTTCTCCAGAGCTGCTAAATCTGAATGTATCGCTGTTGTGTTTTTACAGCTGTTGCTGTTTATAGTGTCAGCCTCTTGATGAACTGATTTGGAAAATGTTACAACACATGGATTGATTTATTTTTATTTTATTTATTTGTTTATAGGTTTGTTTTTTGGTTTTTTTGTTTGTTTTTTATTGAGACAGGGTCTCTCTGGGTAACAGCTGTAGCTGTCCTGGAACTCACTTTGTAGACCAGGCTGGCCTTGAACTTACAGAGATCTGCCTGCCTCTGGCGTGCACCACCATCACCCTGCTAAAAATATTTTGATTTTATTTGTGTGCATGCATGCGTATGTGTGGCATAGGTAAGAGGACAACTCTCAGGAGTTGGTTCTTCCATATACCATGTTTGTTCCAGGAATTGAGCTCAGGTGGTCAGGCTTGGCAGCAAGTGTACACACTGATCCATCTTGCTGGTCCAGTTTTCTCTTAATAAATTAGTAATTTTAAAATTGAGTATGATACTGATTTCATTAATTGACTTCTTCATACAGGAAACCTGGACAAGCATGAAGAACTAGAGAAACTGGTAGCAAGGTTCTTGGGCGTGGAAGCTGCTATGACCTATGGCATGGGATTTGCCACAAATTCAATGAACATTCCTGCTCTTGTTGGCAAAGTAAGATGGCATCATTTGTGGCAGTTCTCTTATACATATGTTCTTTGTTTTGATAAACACATCCTGATCCAGTTGCCCTATTATTAACATTGGGCTAAGCACAGTTTACAATGATAGATACTCCATCACAGATTTTTTTTTGGCAAGTATATCTTGCAGAACCAGTACCAGTTGGAGTTTTCCTCCTAGAACCTGTGGTCCTTCCCTCTTCCTGTACAATTTTGAAAGAATTCCAGTGAAAATAAATGCCAAAAGATTAAAATTATGGAAGAAAGATTTAATTCAGAAACTTAATAGTTTTATCTAAGTATAAAAATAAGAAAATGTACCAGGCAGTGTGGCACATGCCTTTAATCCCAGCATTCAGAGGCAGAGGCAGGTGGATCTCTGTGAGTTCGAGGCCTGTCTGGTCTACAGAGTGAGTTCCAGGACAGGCTCCAAATCTACAGAGAAACCTTATCTTGGAAAAAGCAAAGCAAAACAAGACAGGCTCCAAAGCTACAGAGAAACCTTATCTTGAAAAAAAACAAAACAAAACAAAACAGAAAACAAACAGAAAGAAAATGCATTTACCTTGATATATAGGTAAATTTTATATAAACGTAATGTGTATGTCTGTATCTCTGCATGTCCATTCTGTAGTTGAACTTGTTACAGCTAACGTAAGGAGAGGTAAAATGCTTTCTAAATGTCGCTACCCAGCACTGTCAGCTCAAAAAGAACCCCTGTTGTTTGTTTTATATCTTAGCATGAATGTTTAGGCACATTGATAGACGCAGTGGGTTGCCTCAGACTTTTTTTTAACCTTTTCTCTCTCAAAGTTCCCACTGAGAGGTTTTACTCGTCTGTTGATTACACAGTCAAACTTATCCATGACTGTGAATGTGTCACATTGCTTTACTGGTCCTCAAGGTTTTCTTTGTAAACGGTTAGTGTGACTCCAATTCAGCTATAACTGATTCTCTAAGGAACAGGTGGAACAGTAAACAAATTGCAATGCAAGAGATTTAACCCAGTTGTATTGATATCACAATGTAACTGGTTTATTTGTACATTGAAGTAGAAGACAGACCTTCTCAGATGAGATCAAACTACTAAGTTTCCTAATATTCAGTGAACCTATTTGAAATGCAAAGATAGTAGCATTAAAAGTAAGAAGATGAAATGGCACAGTAGCATGTACCTACTGTCCTTCACTTCGGGGGCTGAAGCAAGAAGTTCAGGGATTTGAGATCAACATAGAGTTCGGAAGCGGGGGCTGTGTCAGAAATAAATAATGTCAGCTTAGTGGTTGAATGCCTGCTTAGCATTTTTCATGGTCCTGGGTTTGATCTTTCACCTTCAAGGGAAAAAAAAAGATGAAAAAGTTGCACACTAATGAAAAATTTGAAGTTACTGTATTGATAAAAGCAGATTTCAGACCAAGGAATATTGTAAAGATGAAGAATATGCTATAATGCAAGAGAGTTGATTAATCAGGATGTGTTAGGAACCTGAAGCAGAAGCTGATGAAACTCACTGGAGGGTAGAGAAATAGAGGTGCATTAGTCATTAGCAATGGGTACCAACAGAGAATGGTATCAACAAGAATCAGCATGGGTACAGAACACTGGCAAAACAGTTTCAGCTTGCTAATCTTCTAGACACCTACCAAACACTTCCCAACAACAGCAGAGTATTTACCAGAATAAGTACATTGTACTTTGGGGTTTAAATAAGTTTTAATGTTTGAAAATACAAAAACTATTAAAGTATGTTCTTTGGCCACAGTACAGTTTAATCAAATCATTCACACAGATTTTCGAAGTTAAATCAAAACTAAAAAACGTTGATGAAATGTAATATCACAAATCAGTAAAGCACTATACATGTAGACATGTATAACACTAATGTACTTGGAGTGTATGTGCCTTCCTCCTGAGTTACATACTTAGTTTATTTTACATGCTGTTTCCAGGGAGAAAAAGAAAGAAAAGCTTTTCTATCTTAAGAAATCATAAAAAGAGGGCTAGAGAGGGTTCCGTGGTTAAGAGTACTTGCTGGCTTCTGTTTGATTCCCAGCACTTATATATATGGTTTCCCACATCAACTCCTGACTCCAATTCCAGGGGCCTAATGTACTCAACTGACTGACTCCGCAGGCAGCAGGCATGCCTGTGGTGCATATAAATACATGTAGACCAAATTCTCATACACATAAAATAAATCTAAAATGAAAATTTCAGAATAAGAGCAAATTATGCCCAATTAAGTAAACAGGAAATAGACGATAGCAACATCAGAATACAGATACAGAATCAGCGAATTTCAGGGAAAAGCAGTGAACTGAAGCTGGTTCTCAGAGAAATAAGTAAAATGGCAAACTCTAACTACACCCATCAGGATAAAAAGAGAGGAGGCAGGAATGAAAGAAAGAGCTTCTTTGTACATCCTGTGGACTTAAAGGATAAGAAGAAAGTCTTAGGATACAGCGTGTTCAGCAGCTCATACAGCATGGACAAGTTCTTTGAAAGACACAGTGTGTGTTTCTTTCCATTGGTAACAACACACTGCCATCCTGTGTTTTGGCAGCATAAACCTGAAATTCTGACCTGGATTTTCTTAGGGTTTTGACACTAGGAGGTTAAGTGACCTCACTTTGTATCTTCCCATATGCTCATGAATGCTAGTAAGTCATCATTTAGACTTAGATTTCTTCTATACTAACATGAAAGGGGCTACCTTCCAGATTAGTCTTCCAAATTATAGTTGAAATGGTAGTAACTATTATTTGATCTCTTAAGAATGGTAATTCTTTGAATTCGATCCTGAATCTCTCTAAGTTGCTTGATTGTTCATCTTAAAGGCTGGTAGAACACATGATCTAAAATGTGGAGCTTTGTATTGAGTCTCTTGTGCCCATGCTTAGATAAGAAAGATTTTCCTTTGTAAATTGAAGGTGATATAATACCTATTTCATGTGTTATAACAAAACAATGCTGTAAAATCCCTTAACAAACTGCCTAAAGCATATGCACTTAGATGTCACCTCCTAATATTTCATATTCATTTTATTTTTGAACCAACTATATAATAGAACCTCACAGTAGACTACAAGAAAAAAAGCCAGATTGATAACCTAAAAATGTTGACTAAAGGGTCTGAAAAACAACCTTGCGAATTTTGCCTGAAAAATAAATTATCTGGAAAGAGAAGGAAGTTGGGAGAATGCTTTTAAAGTACACTAGACTAGAGGCTTGCATGCTAAGTCAGGCTTACAAAAGAGCAGTCCTCCTGCTCTTCTCCCAGTGATTTCAATTTAGACTTGAGAGGAGCTGCAGGGGGCATGGAGTCCCACCCTGGCCTTCACCCAGCTTCCCTTTCGTAGCATCTTACCAGTGCAGCATCTCCCAAAGCCCGGAGGTTAACTGTGACACAGTACACTGACGAATGCAAAGCCTAGTTCATGTCTGCGATTAATCGTTTCCAGTCTACCCTTGGCTTCCATTGAGGCACCATCTTCATTTAACTGTAGCCCCTAGTCTTTTCCAGTGTACTTCCTGACTCCCACATGCTGGCTGTCCCTTATTTTGTATAACGTCTCTCATCTTGAGTGGTCAACTGGTGGCATATGTTATGGAGAAGGACACTACATAGGCGACACTGACCTCAGGCTGTTGCATAACATACATGGTGCCAGTATATGTTACTAGCGATATAAATAAATGTGGCTACTTGGTTAAGATAACAAACAAGACTTTCTACTGTATCTTCTTATTATTCCTTTTGTAATTACCAATTACCATGATAGAGAAACTTAGGGACTGTGTAACTGGTATTTTTTTATTAAACTCTCAAACACTAATTTTAGTGTGGCTATGCATTGCCAGTGACGGTCAATTGCTTTGGTATTCTTAGAGTGAATTTTCTCATTCCTTTATTTATTCGTGGAGTTTTGTGGAAGAGTTGTTGCTTCTCCTCTATATCAGTATGGACTCCTGAATATCTTATTATTTATGTAGTAACCCAACATTAGAACCTTTTTACATTTTTACTTTTCTGGGTTTTTTGAGGCAGGGTTTTTCTGTTTAGCTTTGGCTCTTCTGGATCTTACTATGTAGACCAGGATGGCCTCAAACTCAGAGATAGGTCTGCCTCTGCCTCCTGAGTATTGGAATTAAAGGCATGCAGCATTATTCCCAGCTATGAATATAATTTTGTATTGCTTAAGTTGTTTTTGTTTGGGCCATTGGGGTATTTTGAGGTGATTTTCATATGGAAATTTGCTTATTTATTTACTCATTCATCTGTTTGTTTGTTATAGCGTCAAGGATCCAACCCAGGGCCTTGTACATGCCAGGCAAATGTTCTCTACCACTGAGCCTTATACTCCCAGCCCCTGTTGAGGCCAATTTTGAAAGACAAAAACTTGGGTTTTTTTTTGTTGTTGTTGTTGTTTTGTTTTTATTTTAGCAGGATCCCATGAGAGATGGAAGGGTAAGAAATAAACCACCAAGAATGTCAGGCTTTTCTCTCTCCTTAACTTAGGTGTTAAAGAATGTTTGGGGATTTTAAGAGGCTAAACCACAGCCTTCATACTATGTGATTTTGGGGTTTATAAATGGGTTCTTCCCTGAACTGAGATATGTTAATATTGAAGGGAAAAGAACTATATCTACAGCTGCCATTTCTCACAAAATGATAGATAGATCAAAATGCTCTCAAATCATAGATATCAGGACCCTTTACAGACTGCTAGATTTTAGGTGTATGTAAGAACATGTTGCTATGTATCAGGTATTTAAATTGACAGGATTACGAAACTATTGCATGTAGGATGGATTCTGCATATGCTTCTAAAGCATCTTTGAAAACTGTTTTCAGCGAAATTAGTGTCTTACCTTCCTGTGCTTGTGACTTTGCAGGGTTGTCTGATTCTGAGTGATGAACTGAACCATGCATCACTGGTTCTAGGAGCCAGGCTGTCGGGAGCAACCATTCGAATCTTCAAACACAACAGTGAGTTATTCTGGGCTTTGCCATTGGCTTTACTGTCTGGTGATGACAAAGTTACGGTAGTAGTAGGAAGTACAAGGCAGCTGAAGTAGAAGATTTAAAATGTTCTTCTGGTCCAGTCTTTTCAAAAGACACTTCCTTTTTTTTTTTTTTCCTTTAATGAAATAAAAGCAGGATATGGTGGCACGTGATTGTAAACCTAGCACTTGGGAGGAATTTTCATGAGGTCAGCTTGAATATGTGTGTGTATCTCTCTATCTGTCTGTCCGTCTACGAATGAAGAGAACATATGGTTGATGGGATTCCTTTTTGCAGTTTATACTGCCTTCCCTTGATTTGATTCTTAGGTTTTCCATCTCTCCTTTCCTTGTTAGTAAATCTCTGTTCAGATACATTTGTTGGATACATAGCATGTCTTGTCATGACACTAGGAGTAAGATTAGTGAAGAGATGTGAATAGTTAAGCAACAACTAAATACAATAAAACAGCTGGAACCAGCAGGTGAGGAGTTAGCTACACAAGCTGTGTGATGTGAGTTCAATCCTTGGAACCCATCCATGCAAAAGAGAACGGACTCCAAAAGTTGTTTTCTTGCACTACACTTGTGCTGTGGCGTGAGCCTCCCTCACCTCTCATCACACACAGGCACAAGACACACACTTAACAAAGTTTGGGGCTGGAAAGGCAGCTCAGTGGTTAAAGAATGTGCACAGCTTTTACAGAGGATCTGAGTTTGGTTCCCAGTACCCATTTAAGGCTGCACTCATTCTATAAGGTGTCTGCCACATGGGTGTGAAAACCCGAGTTCTGATCCCCAGCACTGATATAAAAAGATGGGCATGGCACCTCATGCCTATGATCTCAGCACTGGGAGATGGAGATAGCAAGATCTTTGGGGCTAGCCAGTCTAGCTCAATTGCTGAGCCAGAAGTTCAGGAGAGACCATGTCTTAAAAAATAAGGTAGGGTATGATTGAGGAAGACACTTGGCATCAACCTCTTGCCTCTGCAAATACCTATATTTGCATGTGTACCTGCACATGTGTGTTTATGCATAAGTTTATACACATATACCACCCACATACATACATACATATAGACACATGTTCAAGAAAAAAAGAACAGACAAATGTTCTCTACAGTAATAAACAAAGATGGTAGGGAATGGTGTTGTCAAGCTAAAACTTGTTCCCTAAATGGAAATACCTTTGTGCAGTTTTTAAAATGCATAAATCATAGTTTTAAAAAATTAAAGTACACAAATCATAATCTTAAAAAATTATTTATATAAAAACTTATAAAAATCATATTTTTATAATTTAAAACACATATAGGGAGAAAGATCATCCAGCTGTATTTAAAATATCATCTCTTGCAAAAATGTATGTATGCAGATGAAATTGTAGAATAATATATAAATATTAGGTCTGTATCCCTGGAAGGAAGGATTGGATGGCAATAACTTATTTCTTTTTTTCTTTTTATCTTAAGTAAAATGTTCTACAGTGAGACTGGAAGTGTTTTGTATGTGATTGAGACCTTTTCATTGTTGCTGTGAAACTTTTAACCATAAATATTGCTACCTTTTTGTCCATGCCTGTGACTCTTCCCTATGCTTAAATGTGACGTATCCAGATAGACCATAGCTCGTTGTCTCCTCTGTTTGTCCTTAAATCCTTTTTGAACTTTTTTTTTCTTTTTTTCTTTTGATTTTTCAAGACAGGGTTTCTCTGTAGCTTTGGAGCCTGTCCTGGAACTCCCTTTGTAAACCAGGCTGGACTTGAACTCACAGAGATCCGCCTGCCTCTGCCTCCCAAGTACTGGGATTAAAAGCGTGCGCCACCACCGCCCAGCCCTTTTTGAAATTTTAACTGTAAGCAGCACTGCGCTAACATTTCCATGATCATCTGATTAGTGTTGAGCACCCTCAGAGTGCTTTTTTTTTTTTTTTTTTTTTTTTTGGTTTTTCGAGACAGGGTTTCTCTGTGGTTTTGGAGCCTGTCCTGGAACTCCCTTTGTAGACCAGGCTGGTCTCGAACTCACAGAGATCCGCCTGCCTCTGCCTCCCGAGTACTGGGATTAAAGGCGTGTGCCACCACCGCCCGGCAAGGGTGTGCTTTTTTTTTTTTTTGGTTTTTCAAGAGAGGGTTTCTCTGTGTAGCTATGGACCCTGTCCTGGAACTCACTCCATAGACCAGGCTGGCCTCGAACTCACAGAGATCCACCTGCCTCTCTCTGCCTCCTGAATGCTGGGGTTTGGATTAAAGGCATGCACCACCACCACCCAGCAGGTATGTTTTTAATACCTTTTCAAATAACAAATGTGACATTGGACACTTGTATCCACTGGCCAACATGGTCTATTATGTATCATTTTAAATCTTTCTGAACCTAATAAGGGCACAATTTGGGGGTTTTATTTATTTATTTTTTTTAGGTATAGAGTGGTTTTTTTTATACAGCTATTGTATTTGTAGCTATTTCTTGATAATCCGTTTAATCTCAAGCTAATATCTTTTTATTGGTTTTAGGAGCTCTTTGTATTGTCCTTTTATGTCACGCTATTTTTATTTAAATGTCTTGTTATTTTGACTTATCAAAAATTTTTTTGACTTTTAAGTTGTATTTAATGCTTCTTCAGTAAAGGGGGTCTGTTCTCTCACATTTTCCTTTAGGAGTTTTGTGGCATATTTAAACTTTAATTTACATGGTCTATGATGGAAGAAAGATGGAAATAGCTTCCCTAAGTATGTAATCTGTCCTTTGACTAAAGTTTGTAGAAGACCTTTCCCACTGTTATTGCTTGCTTGCTTTTTGAGACAGGGTCTTATTATGTAGCACTGGCTAGTCTGGAACTTACCATCTATCCTAGATTGTCTTTGACTTTATAAGGATTCTCCTTTTCAACCTCCAGTTTGCTAGGATTGCAGCCATGCACTGCCACATTCAGTTTCTTTTTCCTGTGATCTTCCTTTTGTCTAAAGTGTTGAACCACTGCTTCCTTTCTGTCTCCTTTCTGTATATAAACATAGGAAGCAGCTACAGTGAGCGCACTCACTTGTCTCCTGCTCTGGGCTGTCAAGCAGTACTGCTGTGCTGCAAATATTGAAAGGTGTGGCACAGTCATGACCTTTGCCCATCCTGCTGTGTGTTTTTATCACACTATTTCCTTTTCCTATCAAAGTTCAATTATAAGAAAGACAAAGTCATGCAATTTTGACCCTTTCTTTCAGTGATAAGCAGTAAAGAACACAGAAAGTTTATAGTGTAGGGCCTCTCACTTGCATGACATGTTCCTCACATTTAATGTTGCTTAGATTTAGGGAGAATTTTTTTTAAAAATGCCACTCAAAACAAGTATTTTAAGTATAAAGTCTATAGAGATGGAGACGTTTGAGAGGAAAACTATGGTCCTTACTAATGATAGCCCCAAATATGCTTGCTGTCTTTCAGCAGCGCAGCTGACGGAGTGAAAGTGGGGCCATCTCAGCTGAGTGCTCTTGTAGGAGGCTGCCTGTTTGTTCCCGGCTGCCAGACCCGAAATAATCACTCAGAAACTATATTATTTAAATCACTGCTTGGTCAATCATTTAAGCATGCTAGCTAGCTCTTACATCTAGAATTAACCCATTTCCATTATTGTATATTTTATTATGAGGTTCGTGGCCTACCAGCAAGGTTCCACCTGGCAACTCAAGCCTTTCCCCTCTGCCTCCTCCTTCTTCCTCCCAGCATTCAGTTTATTTTTCTCCGTCTAGCTCTATTCTATCCTGTGTAGGCCCAAAACAGCTTCTTTATTCATTAACCAGTAAAAGCAGCACATATAGAGAAGGACCTCCCACACCAGAGTGCCAAGCTGACTTAAGCTTAGACTCAGGCATGTCCCAGACTGCCATATTTTTAACCAGTTGTTTAATAAGCAGCTATTGAATGCATCCTGGGTAAAAGAAAATAGATCATGCACTTTGAAGTTTGTTCTCCATGTTTACTTTTTATTTTTAAAGATATATTTATTTTGTTTTATGTGTGAGTGTTTTGCCTGCATGTACGTGCTTGCTTGGTGCTCACAGAGGTCAGAAGAGGGCATTGGATCCCCTGGAGCTAGACGTATGGGTGGTTATGAATACCCTGTGGATACTAGGACTCAAACCTGGGTCCTCTCCAAGAGCAACAAGTGCTTTAGAACCTTGAGCAGTCTCTCTGGGTCTGTGCATGTTTGCTTTTTAGAAGGAACATATATTTGGGGTGATTTACAACTCTTGTTTTGTCTTTATACATTTATTTCTGAATGAATCACTTAAAGATGAAGTTTGATTTTAAAAACACAGAAAAGCTAATTCAAAGGCAGAGATTTTCTATCTAACCATCTGTAGACTACCCTGGCGGGTCAGTTAGTCTAGGGGTTGTAACCCGCCTGGCACGTCAGTTATTCCAGGGTCCCGGAGAGGCGCTATCTGAAAAGACATAGGCAAGAGAGAGGAACGAGGCCAAGCAAAATTCTCTTGTCAAAGCCTCCGATTATTAGCGTCATGGTTGCAGCTTATATAGCCCCTGGATGAGGAATTTGGGTTGGGATGGGGGGCAGGGCAGGAGGTTACGATCGGTCAGGTCACGATTCTTCGGTCAGGAAGTCGAGTTGACACACCTAGTTCTCTACTTTGAACATTTGTCACATTTAGATGTCAGTTAATGAAGCAATATCTTAACATCTTTTCTGCTCAGCTCTACTTATGCTAAGTAGACTGTCTGAGACACTTCTAAATAAGAAATGTATATTCTCATTTTTCTGATACTGTTAGGAAAAAAACACTTGGGGACTGAATTCTCTCTTTGTGCCATAGATATGCAAAGCTTGGAGAAGCTTTTGAAAGATGCCATTGTTTATGGTCAGCCTCGGACAAGAAGGCCCTGGAAGAAAATCCTAATCCTGGTGGAAGGCATATATAGGTACTCTTGCTCTATTGCACTTGCCTGTGGCCTCGGCCTGTAAGGTCATGTACACTCTCAGCTGAAGGACTCACTAGACTAGCCCGCTCTGGAGACTAAGGAGACAGTGCTCATGACTTGTTAAAAATACCTGGGAACAGGAGGCACTGAGCCCAAAGGTCTTTAAGTCTGTATGGTACACAGCTTTCAGATCCTTCTTCTATCAAAGTTATTTTTCAACTGTTTATGAAAAGCTTATGCATAAAAGATTCTAACTTATCAAAAACAAATGACAAAGCTAGAAGTGGTGGTACATACCTGTAATTCCAGCACTCAGAGAGCTGATACAGGTGATACATCTGGTTGAAGCCCACCCAGAGTACATGGCAAGACCTTAACCACGGTGATTGTGCTCTAGCATACATGAGACCCTGGTTTCAATCTCCAGCACCACAAAACTAACATCAAAATAACTAAAAATATGTTATTTTTTGTTATTTTATGAGATATGGTCTCATGTAGCCCACACTGACCTTAAACTCCTAATTCTGCTTCTGCCTCTGCTTCTTGGGTGCTAGGATTTACAGTTATATGCCCCCATACCAGGCTGTATTTTAATTTTAAGATTTTTTTCTTTTGTTAATTTGGACAATCTATCTTAGATTTCTATTGCTGTGATACAGACCATGACCAAAAACAACTTTGATTTTAAAAAAAAGACATATCCTAGGCCACAGTCCACCAAAGGAACTCAAGGCATGTACAATGAATACAAAGTTTAATGTTGCTTGTAATTGCAAGCTTTAGAAGACACATGTGGGGGAGATGTGGCCCAGTGGTAAAATGCTTTCTTAGCATATGCAAGGCCCCAGCTTTAATCCTTAGCCCCACAAAAGCAAACAGAAATAATCTGCTGTAGCTTTAATTCCTTCTGTTTTGAAATAAAATCAGTTACAGTGCGGCACTTATTTTTGAGACGTCAACCTCCTGTTTCCTGCCAAGTCAGTATACTGCATAACTTAGTTTTAAACCAGAGGTGGAATTTTCAGATTTATTTTGAAAAGCAATAACCTCAAAGCATTAAAAATAAAGTGTCCAGTTGCTAATTTTGAGAGTTAAAAAGTCTCAGTGTTTGTGTTTTTTTAACCCTGTTTTGCCAGCATGGAAGGGTCTATTGTTCGCCTTCCTGAAGTGATTGCTCTCAAGAAGAAGTACAAGGCGTACTTGTATCTGGATGAGGCACACAGCATTGGGGCCCTTGGTCCTTCAGGGCGAGGTGTGGTAGACTACTTTGGCCTGGATCCCGAGGATGTAGATGTTATGATGGGAACATTCACAAAGAGCTTCGGTGCTTCTGGAGGATACATTGGAGGCAAGAAGGTAAAGCAGGCCTTTAGATGGCCGATTAGAGATCAAGAAAGGCTGTTGATTTGGAAGCTGTCTAGTTGGTGGGTCCTATGGGGCTCCTGAATGGGCTCATGTTCTAGTGCTGGTGGACTTCCTACTTCAGCCTGGGGAGTGACTCTGATGTTGCTTGCTGGGCTGAAGGCTGGTTCTGTTCATTGTTTGTTGTGTGCTCATTGGAGCTTCTTTCTAAACTACATTCTGGTCTGAGTTATAGAACACTCTTTTGTAAGAGAGCACACAGTGGTGCTTCCTGTTTGCCACAATCTTCTGTTGGGTTTGAGCTGTGCTCACACTTTCAAAGGGTTGTCACAGGAGCCAACGAAAATGGAAGATCAGAATGCACAAACAAAAAGAGACGGTTTTGTTAGCTGTAATACACTGTAAAGCATCTATTTTTCAACTTTAAAATTATGTATGAGCTCTAAGGCAGTTAAGAATCCATACAAAATCATGAACACTGTCTGCATTTGAATGTGTTTTACTTTGTAAGACCTAGGGGAAAGCATTTTCGACTTTTTGGTTGCCTTATCAGTAAAAGTAAATGGAGGGAGGATTTGTAATGTGATACTGGCTTAAAAAGGATGTATGCCTATGCTGCCACACAGATGCATTTTGTAGACATGTTAACCGAAGTCAGTCGCAAAAGGCCGTATGATAGGTTGGTTCTCTTTTCTTTTGTATGTGTGTGTGTGTGTTTATCTAGAATAGGTATGGAAACAGAATGTAGATTAGTACATTAGTTAAGGAGATGGGGAAATGGAAAGTAATTGTTGATGGATAGGATGGTGCCTTGTTGGGTTATGAAAATGTTTTAAAATTAGGTAATGATAAGGGCTGCACCCCTCTGACTATGCCAAAATCCATTGAATTGTACACTTTACAGAGGTAACTCTGATGGAATGTGGCTTATATTCCCATAAAGCTATGACTTAAAAAAGAACTTGGGTCAGGCCTCTAGTTGAGTAGTAAAGAACTGGCCTGGCATGTGTTCTGACCTCAATTTGACTCTCAGAAAGAAAAGAAAAACTTGTTGTAATATCATTAAGAAATGTATGCCAGGGGCTGGAGAAATGGCTCAGTGGTTAAGAGCACTGGCTGCTCTTCCGAAGGTCCTGAGTTCAATTCCCAGCAACCACATGGTGGCTCACAACCATCTGTAATGAGATCTGGCTCCCTCTTCATGCAGGCAGAATGTTGTATACATAATAAATAAATAAAATCTTTAAAAAAAAAAAAAAGAAAAAGAAATGTATGCCAAGCCGGGCGGTGGTGGCGCACGCCTTTAATCCCAGCACTCGGGAGGCAGAGGCAGGCGGATCTCTGTGAGTTCGAGGCCAGCCTGGTCTACAAGAGCTAGTTCCAGGACAGGCTCCAAAACCACAGAGAAACCCTGTCTCGAAAAATCCAAAAAAAAAAAAAAAAAAAAAAAGAAATGTATGCCAAGCATCACACTAGTAAGTGCTCATAAATGCTCTGAATGTCTTCTTAAAACTAAACTGGAGCCTTAAAGAACAGTCATTCTCAATGTGTGCAGTGTGGCTATCGTCCTTAACCAGAGCTTGTCCTACCCTAATGGGAAAGCCCAGGGCTACCACCTTGCCTGACAAGAGAGGGAACTATATTTGCCTCTGCTACTAACAGACACATGTTCAGCATTAACTCACAACAGTAACAAAAGCAAGGACATTTTTTATTAATCTTTTTAAAAAGTTAACATGAAATTGTAGCTAGAGAAACCTGAAGTTTTATAACAAAACTCCAACAACCCACAGAAGCATCCATAGGAAACCAGATTTAGTTTAATTAAGTTTCTGTGATTGTTGGTTGTTCACTAGACTCATGCTGATAGAAACTAAATATTTTTTGAAAGGACATGGAGACTCCTGGGGGTTTGGTTCAGACAGCAGTACAGCATAGACCAGGAATCTGAGGGTCCTTGTGTCACCCCAGGTCATAAGCAAAATACCTTGGAAGGATATGTAGTGCTAATAGTGGCACAAACCGACAAGCAGGAAGCAAGAAGTCTGTGTATTCATTGAAAATAGCATGTTTATCTGTAAGAAATGCTTTGTTTTGAAGGCATGTGGTATCAGCCAGTTCCCCTCTTGATGATCACATTAAGTTTCACTCAATTCAGAAAGTTTCATGAAACCTTGTCAGGAGTACCTACATCCAGATTTTCATAGTACAGTTTTCTCAATTGGATTATGGGCTGCATAAGTTCTGGCCACATTTACTTGTACGCTTTGTGTTCGTCAGAGTTAGGCGATCAGAGGAAACACTGGAAATTCTGATGAGTGGGATGGACCCAGAAGTTATGGACCTATCTGCATGAAAGATGGTGTTATAGGAAGCCACACAGTAGAGAGGAATCTGACCTGATGCCAGGTTCTGTTCTTCCATAGCGTCACGTTGTTCAGTACCTACAGTGGATAGGATGAATTAGACAAGTGAGGTCAGCCCAGAAGCAGAACCTGGAACTCACACTGTAGACTTCTCACTTCTCAGAGAGGCGCCTGCCTCTGCCTCCTGAGTGCTGGGATTAAAGGCGTGCACCACTGTCTGGTGTCTGTGCCACTCTTACTGTGAATTGAAGTGTGTGTGTAGAAAAGCCATTTACTGTACGAAACAGTGCATGAGACTTGTGAGCACTTCAGTTGGATTGTGCATGGTGTATTTCTGCAGGCATTATCCATAGTCCTCACAGAATACACTTCTAATCTTACTAGCCATTGGCCTCAGTCTGACCACCTGGAATTGTTCAGGTAAATTCTGGTAGAGTTGTACATACCTCTGTGTTGTGTGACTTTTCCTGGGAAGACTTAACCAAATGTCTGTTCACTCCAGATTGGACACTGGTGACAAAATAACGACACCTAATAATTGATTGCCTTTAGAAAGACCCATTTTCAGTTGCTTCTAATCAGGTTTGATAGCTGTCATTATTAATTTTTACCTTTTTGTTAATGAGACAAAGCTTACTTTAGAAGTTAACTGGTAAATAAATATTGTTATGAATTAAAGGCTAATAAATCATATAGGGTATAATTAAGAATCAACATGACATATTTATGCTTTGAGGTACAATTTTGAGAGTTTTAGAAGCAACAAGACTATTTTACTATTTATTTGTTTTTAGTATATATGCTACTGATCACCCCTCTTTACTTAGGACATTGTCTCACTTTGTAGCCCAGACTAGCCTTAGACTTGTAATCCTCCTGCCTCATCGTCCAGAGATTAGGGTGATAGGCATGTGCCATCACACAACAGATTCTTGTGCATATTTTATTTTTAAATATTATTTTTAAATTTATTATTAAATTTTAAATTAAAAATAAATCTATTGTTAAAAATAATAAATTAAAAAATAAATTAAATTTATTGTTAAATATATTATTTATATTTAAATATTATTTTAAAATTTTTATTTTTAAAGATTTAATCTGGGCGGTGGAGGTGCATGACTTTAATCCCAGCACTTAGGAGGCAGAAGCAGACAGATCTCTTGAGTTTGAGGCCAACCTGTTTTACAGATTGATTTCCAGGACAGTCAGAGCTACACAGAGAAACCGTGTCTTGGAAAAACAAAACAAAATAAAAAAAAAGATTTAAATGAGAATCTAGAGAGTGACTTAGCAGCTGAGAGTACCTGTTGTTCCTGGAGAGGATCTGGGTTCAGTTCCCAGCACCCACATAATAGGTTTCCAGCCATCTTTAATTCCAATTCCAGAATGTGTAAGCTTCTCACACATACTTGGTGCACACACACACATGTGCAGGCAGAAACCTCATATACATAAAATAAGCCTTAATTAAAGGCTTAAATGATAGTAAAAAGTACAGGAACGCAATCGAAACTGATATAAAATCAGTTGTGTTTTTTTTTTAAATTATCCTGACGAGGATGATTAAAAGATATTTTACTCAGTGATAATATTCTAATGAAAGACATAATGAAGTTCTGCCAATTTATGTATCAATTTGTGAATCTCCTTCCAGAGAATATTGGGAGGGGCGTGATCAAACTGAGGAACCTCACACCTGCCTGGTGTTTTCCACAGCACTGAATGATACACTCCCAGCCCAGGAAAATTGTTATTTAGGAATATAAAGATGGACGGTAAATGTATAGGATGAGATACAAATGACACCTAGAAGTAAATTATTATACCTCAAAAAGCAATTCAGCATTCTTAATTCATAACATTAAATGATATGTTTTTTGAATTTAGAGTGAGCCTTTAAAAATGAATTTAAAAACCAAAACCCAAGACTTTGCTATTTCTGACATCTTTGTTGGCCAGTTGTGAGCTTTGATGGTGTTAGTTGACCTTGAGTCTCTGTTTAGCGCCCTGTTGCAGGCCTTTGAATGAAAGAGTCCAGTAGCACCTAGAAGGAAGGTACTTGCATAACTGTGTGCTCAGGACCTGACTCTAAATATCTGCCTCTGCTTCCACAGGCACTGATAGACTATCTGCGTACACATTCTCACAGTGCTGTGTATGCCACGTCGATGTCACCACCTGTGATGGAGCAGATCATCACCTCCATGAAGTGTATTATGGGGCAGGATGGCACCAGCCTTGGTACGTCTTTGACTTAGTAAAAACTTAACAGCCAACTGTGTTCTTTTGGTTGAGATTTTTTTTTTTTAAATAAGGAGTCAGGCTTCCAATGGGTCCACTGTTAGGCTTTGGTTTCCATAGACACTTTCAAGTGTGTTAAAGACACACTCCTAACGGTCTGAGCACTGGCCAAGGTCGCCGGTTCGAGTCCCAGATAAGGTAAGTGAGTTTGTACTGTGTGCTGTGTGTGTCTGTCTGTCTCTGTGCTTGTTCTTGTACTGTACTGTGTGTGACTGTGACGTGTGCCTGCATAATTAGTCAGAAAAAAAAAGTTAAAAAAAAAAAGACACACTCCTTGAGAACTCTACTGGCTCTCTCCTGTGGAATTTTTGTTTGTTTGTTTATTTTGAGACAGGGTCTCTCTTTGTAGCTCTGGCTGTCTTGGAACTCTGTGTAGACCAGGCTACCTGAATTCACAGCCTTTGCCTCCCAAGTGCTGGGGTTAGAGGTGTGCACCCCCACTGCCATGCCTGATTTACATGTGATGAGACTTTTTCTTGCTGTCCTACAGTGCTTTTAATTTAGGGCATTTGCCTTCAGGGTCTTTCTTTTTTTTTTTTTTCTTTCTTTTTTTTTTTTTTTTTTGGTTTTTCGAGACAGGGTTTCTCTGTGGTTTTGGAGCCTGTCCTGGAACTAGCTCTTGTAGACCAGGCTGGTCTCGAACTCACAGAGATCTGTCTGCCTCTGCCTCCCAAGTGCTGGGATTAAAGGCGTGCGCCACCACCGCCCGGCCAGGGTCTTTCTTAATCACATCTTTTTATGTGAAAATGTTATCAATACATAGTAATGTGTATATCATCAATAGCATATTTCCAGAGTAAATGTCCTTGATTTAAAACCTTTTTAAGGGGGCTAGAGAGATGGCTCAGAGGTTAAGAGCACTGGCTGCTCTTCCAGAGGATCTGAGTTCAATTCCCAGCAACCACATGGTGACTCACAACCATCTGTAATGAGATCTGGTGCCCTCTTCTGACCTGTAGGCATGTATGCCAACAGCACATTTTATGCATAACAAATAAATTTAAAAAAACCATTTCAAATGAGATGTGCATTCAGAAGAGCTGCAGTTACTTAAATGTATTTGAAATGAACAATAAAAGATGTTGCCTGGTTTATTCATTTGTATCACCAGAGGGCAGTGTTGACCAGTTACTGTGAAAGGAGGGTAATTTGATTTTGCTGGTTTTACTGTTAAAGGTCTTTTCAGGGGTGGGACATGTGACACAAGTCTAATTCTGGCACTTGGGAGGTGGAGACAAGAAAATTAATCGTCTAAGGTCATCCTCAGCTATATATTTTGAGGCCTAGCTCATAAACAAAAACAAATAAAGTACAAATGTTTTTCTACTAGCAGATTGACTTAATTTAACTTGCTCTCTTGCTGTTTCTGAGGCATCGTGGCTCTGGCAGATTTCACATCCTCAGCCATGATTTCTCCATTCTAATACATGGTACTGTAGATGGGCTACAGCCTGCATTGGAAACAGTTAAGTAGGAGAGCTGGTTTTGACTAAGACTTTTCTAAAGTCAAAACTGATTTTATATTTGTTCCCATCTGTCAGTGATCCTGTTATCTCTATGGAGAGACTTTTGGAAATATTGTTGTCATCTTCAGTTTTATGAATTTGCCTGTTCAAGAAAAAAGTTTATTAATTGTGCTCCACAGTATCTGGGACCAGCTTAGAAGGTTCCGGTGCTAGAAAGACCTGAGCTGAATGGGGAGAGGGATCATCTGTCAGCCTCTTCACTGACCATTGGAAGGCTTGCCGTGCTTGCTGTGGTAACGAAACTTTTAAGTGAGTTAGTTGACTCTAAGCCTACTGTCCTGAGCCTTCCTTGCACAGCACCAGAGTTGATGTCAGCTGGGCATTAGTCTGAGGAGGAGGAGGCTGTGGAGAGCATATGCGTCATATGCCCTTCCTCAGAAGACTTGGCACCTGTCCTTCAGCATATCTTGTGGCATGTAGAAATTCCCATGAAGATGCAGGAGCCTCAGTGCAAAAGCAGTCTTTACATTCAAAGGAAATGCCACACTAAGGCCTGTTGACCCCAGTGCTTGCACAAGTGGGAAGAGTGTATATTGTAAAAGTGTCATTCGAAAATTCAAGTTATTACAGGCTGGTGGGTGAAAAAAGTGAGAGCCTAGGAAGTTCTGAAAAGTCCACCAGACACTTGGAAAGCTAACTTGTCCTTCATGCATCACTGACCATATTCTGTGGTGGATTTTAGCTCCAGTATCTTTTTATTAAAGTAAAATATTTAGAAAAATCAACTAAGATTTAAATTTTTTTTTCCAGAACTGCACTTGGGTGTAAAATAATTTAGTGCTTTCTATACAGTACAGTGCTTGTGTAGTTGCATGCTACCAGTATGACCATGTTAGAGATAAAGTAAATTCCAAAAGTACATGTAACAGGAAGCTTTTACAGTGATTACAGAAGTCACTTTACATACAGAAAGAAAACACTACTGTCTGCATTTAGTTTCTAAAGAACCTAGATAAATCTCTTACTAGTGTAAAAGAGACTTGAGTAGGTTGAAGTTTAATTAAAATTAGGCTTGACCTGTTTGAATTAATCCAGCAAAAGACTTGCTAGTGAGGTGTTAAATGATCCAGAGAACTGTCAACAACTAATTTAGGAGTAGACACTACCCTGTCTTTGAGAAGCATCAGCTTGATCCTGAGGAGAGCTACTCAGAAGGGACAACTTTTGACATTTCCCCAACACTGCCCTCCAAGTCCAGGAGTATCTGCCTTCTGCTTTTTTCTTTAGTATTGTGCTTTAATGGAGTTTGTTTAGAAACTCAGCCAGATCAGTGGAGAGAGGGAATAATGAGCAGAGTGCGGTGATTAGAAAGAAGGAAAAGGGCAGAGTGCATTTCCTGGTGTGGCCGTCCTTTCCTAAAACTTTTGAGCAGCTTTTCCAGGGCTGAGCTCGAGGCCTGTGACTTAATGTCAAGAAACATCTGTCAGCGAGCGTTACCTGCTCTGTGTTGGAGTTGAACAAGATGTGCTCCAGGTCTTTAAAAACTGTCCTGCAGCTTGGCAGGGTAAGATTCCTGGAGGAACTAGTCCCAGAGTCGAAACATTTTCCTTTGTTCACCTTGCTCCTTTCTTAATTCCCTCTGTCCCTCCCTCTAAACAACCTCCTTCCACACTGCATCCCCAGTGAAACCGTAAGTTTCCTACAACTCAGTAAAAGTTGAGGCCAACTCAGATCTAACATGCTTAATCAAACTTAAGTGAGCTTTTTCTTTGTAGAGCCTCTTACAAATTCTATAAACGAAAAAAAAATTTCTTTTATAAATTAGTTGCTCTAATGTCTAACACAAAAGGCCTTTTAACCAATGGCTTAAGCTTATTAAAATCAGAAAGCACTAAGACCACTTTACAGGTGGGGAGATTTGAGCTCACACGTGGGGCAAGTTCTTTCTGTATCTTGTTTCCAAATAGGACGTGGCTTCCCTCGGTCCATCTGCTTCTGATTGTAGTCAGTGTTTTATTAAAACAGGCTGTTTTGTGGCCTCTTACTAATTTTCCACAAAACACCTGAATTTCCTAGTGGATGGTCATGCTGACAATGACAGCCACTGGGACATTTGACTGCCTGTCTCCACTCCACTCTGACTCAGCAAGCTCTTTACCACCCCACCGCTATCCCCCCCCCCCCCCCCCCCCCGCGCACCCTCCCACTCAGAAGCAGTTCAGCTCAAGAGCCTTTCAGGGATGTGAACTGTGTGTGCTTCCTTCTCCCACTCTCATTCAAAATCCAAATGCAAATAAAAGTTTTTTGCAATAAGAACCTTCTTTTTGTGTCTTGTTGCAGTCAGTTTGAAGCTGGCTATTTAGATGCCCACAAGCATCAGGCTGGAAGCTAGGCCTTGAACAGATGTACACTTGACCATTAAATGGAACGTTGTTCTTAGAATACCTAAGAAAGGCATTTAGGTTCCCCTGGGGTGGGAAAGGAGCCCCAAACCAGAGGCCCTTCATTTGGAGATATGGTTGCATGCTACGGTGATGCTCAGGTCTTAAATTTTTAGGGATTAAAGTAGATAGATTTCCTTAGTTCTATTTTAATTTTTGGGGTTGGTTTATTTTTATAGTCAGATTTATTTTAAAGATTTTTCTCTGCAATTTTTATGTCTGTTTATTTGAGCTGGGACATAGTCTTTATCCTCGCCATTCTGGATTTGTGGCCTCTGTGGCTTAGTCTGTGTTGAAGAACATATCTAACTTTGCACACCACAACACGATTGGCCTTGCTTCTTTCCCCTGGAATTGTTTCTGAGGTTTTTATCTAAAAGAGTTGGTGATAGCAGTCCTTCAACTTTGAGACGGTTGCTGCTCAGCGACTTAGTAATAATATATTCCAGTAACAAGATAGAGGGGCCAGTTATCCTCTGACAGCTCCCCAATGAAGAGATGAGAATATGCCAAAGGATTGGTTTTATCTTTAGTGCTTCCTGTGGACTTTCTAGTTACCTAAATTTGATTTGTATGTTCCTGTCATCTACCTTAATAGTGTAATGAATGTTAAAGAAGAAGGCCTATCCGTGATGCTTTTACCTTAGAAGTTTTTTCATCCAGGACCTTGTACATAGTAAGCCAGCTCTTTGCCTCTGAGCTCCACCTCTTTCTCCATAATGCTTCTTTAATACAGTAGAGCAATTCTGTTCAAGAGGGACTGTACAGGTGCCGAGACTGCAGCTACAGTGAAGTCTTGTCCTAGGAAGAGCAATTAATTGAGGTCAGTTCTGACTTCAACCAGGAAATACAGGGATTTGTTGTCAGTGGAGAGAAAATATCAGGGTATGGGTGCTCCTTACCTTTAGAGTCTTTGCTGAAGGCAAACAGGGCAATAAAATACCATGTTCAGGTGATTTTCTCTAATATGATTTGCAGGATTGTCCATCTCGACCAATCTGGACTCCTCAAAGACAGGGGTATTTAATGTGTG